ACCTGCGGGCGGTGGCGACCTGGCCCTCGCGCGCTCCGGGGCTAGCGGTGTGGGGGACCGCGGGCCCGATTGGGGTGGCGGTGATTGTCGCTGACCCGGAAGAAGCTTGGCTCTCCTGAAGGAGGGGAGGATTAATGACAAAGACGGCCCCGTTCTTTCCCATTCAATCCAGCCTTCGGAGACGCGCCTAGACGAAGGGGGGAAGGGGTGTGTGTGTGTGTTTGTGTGTGTGTGTGTGTGTTTAGGGATGGGGGACGCCAGCGTGCGGCGGGGAGCAAGGGGCGTAGGCACAAGCCATAGCTTCTTGTTCTTTGCAGTAAGGCATTAATTTGTTTAAGGTGGCAAGGCCTCCTTTTTGTGGATCCAGGTTGTTGCTGGGGTGTGTCTCCGTGTGTGGCCACCCCGGCGCCCAGAACAGTGTTCACTTCAGCGTGTGGGGCGTTGTTTTCCAGGAGCCACCGTGTGCTGACACCTTGGTGTGCCCACAGCTGTGCAGAATGAATCACAGATATCAGAGATAGAACACACCTGTTACTGTCGGTCATCAGGCTTGGCATGCATGTGTTCTAGTTTCCATTTACAGGACAGTCCATACCCTTCCTCAGGAGGTTCTGTTCCTTACTTCATTCATTCTTTCAGTCAGCCCTGAGTGTCACCTGTCTTCTGGGGATTTGCTGAGGCCAAGGGGCAGACAAAGATAGGCAAGTGACTGTCCTGCTCTCAGTTAACTAACTCCCGTTCTCCTGGGAGAGCTACACCACCCGCCGGTAGAGTCACTCTAGGAGGTAAGATCGGTAAGTGTTACCAGGGAGGAACAGAAAGTGCTGTGGAACCCCGGGGAGGTGAGGGGGGTGCTTTTTAAGTAGTGGTGGATGAGGAGGCTTTATGGAGGAAATGGCATTCGAGGGCCTTGTAGGATGGATAGGACGTGGGCATGAGGAAATAGAAGGAAGTGACATATCAACCAGTGAAGAAATAGAGCAGAAGCCATGATGTTTGAAATGTTGGGTGTGTTTAGGGCATTGTGGTTTGATTTTGTGGCCCAAACAGTAGCAGGAAATGATTGGGTTAGTTGATGGAGGCGTTTGGATGAAGAGTTTAGATTTGATTTTGTAAGCAATGAAGAAGGCTGACCTGTTTTTTAGTGCTCCCCCCTCCTTTATGATGCTAAGAAAAAATATATTATTCCAAAGCAGTGGTTTTCAAAGTGCAATTTCCAGACCTGCAGCATCAGCATCACCTGGAAAACTGTTAGAAATGCAAATTCTAGGGTCCCGCTCCAGACCTGCAAAAATCAGAAACTCTAGGGGTGTGGTCCAGCAACCTGTACTTTGACGAACCCTCTGGTTGGTTAGATGCACACTCAAGTTTGAGAACCCCTGCTCCCAAACCTTGCTACTCAAAGTGCAGGCTTTGGACCAGTAGCATTAGCATCACCCAGGAGCCTGTTGGAAATGCAGAATCTGCAAAATCCCAGACCTACTGACCCAGAATCTGCATTTTAACAAGATCACCAGGTGATTCATATGTCTGTCAGAGTGTGAGAAGCTCTAGAGGATTTGCAAAGTACAGAAACGTGTAAAGAAAAAACCCCTAACCCTGCACCATCACCCAGATATATTTTTTGTTCATATTTTGATGTAATTCCTGCCAGTTGTTTTCTATGCATCTATATTTGTACCAAGTGCTCTTTTAACAAACATGAGTGGTATGGAACAATATATACAGTTTCCTGCTCTTTTTACTTTACATTATATGTGATTAAATAGTCTTTTAAAGCCTCATTTTTAGTGGCTTCATAATATTCATTATGTCTATACCATAGTGTGCTTAACCATTTTTCTATGGTCAGACAGATTGATTCCAATTGTTTGCTATTATAAATAACACTGAGATAATAAAAATAATAGATACCATTTATATATAGTGCTTACTTTGTGCCAGATACTGAGTTAAAGACTTTACATATAATAATTCACTTAATCCTCATAACAACTCAGTGAAATAGCCACTATTATTACCCTATTGTGGACACCAGGTCACAGAGACTTGCCCAAGGTCATACTGCTAAAAAGTAGCAGAGCTGGGGTTTAAATCCAAGCAATCTGGCTTCAGAATCTATGCTCTTAACTATATTTACACTTAAATTTTTGTCCTAATTTATTTTTCCTTACAAGAAATTATCAGTTTTTAAAAATGTCTTGAAACGTCATCAATTTGCTTCTTAGAAAAGTTATGCTAACTTGTGCTCTCTCCAACAATGTACTAGTTTTATAACATCCTTGCCGACATTGAGGGTTAAACTTTCAAAAATATTTTCTAATTTGATAAATGAGAACTGTATATTGAGTGACCTGGGATCTCTTTAATTACAAGGGTGAGCATTTTTCACATGTATAGTTTCCATTTATATGGTGCTGAGGGCTTCTATTTGGACACAACCTTAACGTACTAAATTATACCTTATGTGTTACAGCATCTTACTTTGCTAGTGCCTGAACACTCACCTGAGCCCCAGAGAAGGAAAATGAGTCTCTACTCACACAGTGAGTTTGCAGTGGTTTCTGACCAGGGAGACATTGTTTTAGTTCAGTGGTTAAGAGACTTTAGACTCAGACAGGGGTGGGCTGCAAGTCTTTGCTGCTTCTTGGGCAAGTCATTCAACTTCTGAAAACCTGAAATCTCCTCACTCGTTAAATAGGGATACTACTTGCTTCATAGGGGTGTTGTGAAACACCTTGTAAGTGCCCCACGGGTGGTAACTTTCCTTATTACTCATTGAATCCTGTCATCCTTGGATCCCATAATAATGTTGTAGAAGACTCTAGTTAATCCATGTCTACCAACCCCTGGCCCTTTTTACATTAAGGTATCACGTCAGGAAGAGCAAAGAGAAGACATTGGTGGTTGCGTGCTCTGAGTTTTTATTAACTTCCTACTCCGGTAGGAAGAGCTACTGAGGGCAAATAATGGACGAAGATCCAGGCCTGGGATTTGGCTACTATCAGAAATAAGACGTAAATTGGTTCATGACGGTCACAACTATTTAAAGGTGAGAAGTACTAATGTGCTAAATTGCTTTTTGTTTTCCTACTGTGTCCTGGCTTCCTACTGTCCTGAGTACAGTATCTCATTCTTAAATTTTGGGTTTGAGGACAGGGCTGCAAGAGACATGAAATCTACATGGTATTATCCTGTGTATGAAACAGAGCCCAACACCAGAGCTTAATACTAGCTTGGATGAAGGAGAACGTGAGCGAGGAAGGTAAGAGATATCATGGGCGGGGAGGCAGAGCAAGAGGAGACTTACTATGCTCATCTGTCCCATTCGGTAGAGCTGTGTGTGTATGTCTAGAACTGTTTTGTTTGCTTGTTTTCAGTTTGCTTCTGTCTATTTTTTTTTTCTTTTTGTGAGGAAGATCAGCCCTGAGCTAACATCCATGCTAATCCTCCTCTTTTTGCTGAGGAAGACCAGCCCTGAGCTAACATCTATTGCCAATCCTCCTCCTTTTTTCCCCTTTTTCTCCCCAAAGCCCCAGTAGATAGTTGTATGTCATAATTGCACATCCTTCTAGTTGCTGTATGTGGGACACTGCCTCAGCATGGCCGGACAAGCGATGTGTTGGTGCGTGCCCAGGATCCGAACCCTGGCCGCCAGTAGCAGAGCGCACGCACTTTACCGCTAAGCCATGGGGCTGGCCCAGTTTGCTTCTGTCTCTAAGCCACTCACTGGTAAATGCGCACCGGTTACTCAGAAATGGTCTCCTTCCTTCAGATGGAATTAAACAGGTGCCAAAGAGAATTTCTCAAACATTTTTTCATTAATTATTGACCATATGCAGAGCACTATTTTAGGAAGTGAGCAAACATCCAAATGACAGACAATTTGGGCATGGATTTAGGGTTCAGAAACTCAGTGCTTCTCAAACTTTAATGTGCATTTGACTCCCCCAGAGACCTTATTTAAATGCAATTCCCTGATTCCATTAATCTAGGGTTGGCCCAAGATTGTGCATTTCTAACAAGCTACCAGGTTGTGCTGATAGTGCTGGTTTATGGCCTACATCTTGAGGAGCAAATATTTAGAGGAAAGGGAAGTTCCATCTCTCCCCTCCTCTCTTGGCCTTTGCCTTCTCCCAGGGAGGACTTGTTCATTCGATTGGTCAGGTTCCAGGAAATTAATTGGTGAGCATTTAACAAGGGCAGGGTTATGAACCTCCGTGCAGTGTTCTTTTCCACTTCGTGCAGCAGGAATAGGTAAGCTGAGCCAGGGCCTCCTTTTGGGATCTGGCCATCTCGATTTCTCTTCCTCAAATGCATAGCCAAGCATACTTTTCATTGCTTCCATTTCTGGTACAATGTGGCAGGACAGAGAGTGAGAAGATTTTGGTGTGTAGTGGGGAGGGAAATGCTCATGTAGGCCTTTAGTGTAGGCTGCTTGCTCCAACCTTGTTTTTTCGAGAAAGCTCTGCACTAAGAAATTGAACATTTATTCAGGTGAAAATAAAGTGGTATTTTGATTTTTTATCTGTTGATGGCCCTTGAATGTATTGCTTGCTCATGACCCTCACAGGGAAGAAAGATGACTGAGCCACAGGAGGTTTCTAGTTCTCATGGGTCCTTTGGCCCAACGTCATCAAAACCTCTCCCTGCATTCCTAACAGGCAAGCACTGGACACAGGCCAGTGAATCCATGGATGATCACACCACTAATGGAATAACTCATTACTGCTGAGATATGCTGGAAGATTTCTTACAAAAGATGTATGTGGAACTATTTGGATGCAAAGAACTGGGCGTGGTACATAGAAGGCAAAGTGCGTCTGCTGGCTTTATGAGTCTCAGGCTCTGGATCTGCACTGGGTTCTGACCTTGCTTCTGCTTCTCTGAATCTCTACCTTCCCACTCACTGCCTGCTCGTCCTAGACAACCAAAGGCCCCTCTCTTTCCAGACTCACTCTGGAGCTCGCATACCTCCTAAACAGATGGCATGTGCTGCTTTTTCTCTTCCGTCAGCTCAGTGTCTTAAGCATATGCGAAAGATATATATTTGAATCTCTTTTATACTAATCTAAGCTGTTCAGGGTTTGGTCACATGCCAACCAAACCAGAGCTATTTTGGGCATGTTTTTCTAATTGCATTCAACTTCACAGTTTACCTGAGAAAATTACAGCATGTCCATCACCAGTTTTTATCCATATTCAATCTTCCATCATCCCTCCATGGAAAAGTGGGAGATTTTTAACTGTTTAATGCCCAGATGTAGCATTAGCCATATAAGGCTAATGTGAGCTTCATATTTTCATTTATCTCACCACCTGTCCCCTCACCCTCAACCCAACAACAAATTTCTCTATAATTCCAGAGCCCAGTTCAGTCTGCCTATCCCTCCTCTCTCCTACCACTCCAGCCACTCTGCACCCGCCTACCTTCCCCTCTCCAATATCCACTATAGCCCTCCATGGGGGCGGTGATGTCAGTTATTCGGATCTGCTTGCATCCCTTCCTTAGGGGATTCTTTCTTCCTCTATTCCATGTGGTCCTGGTGGAGCTGTCAATCATGGTGTCTGAGGTCCCCCCTTCCCTGACTTACTAGGGCTTATTCCAGTCTCAGCCAATCATATTATTCCATCTCCCTAGCCCACAGTGATTGGTTCAGGGAGGACCATATGTAGAAACAATCAGAAATTTCCATGAGATTTATATACAGACCTTGGGAGAGAAAAGTTCTTTAAGCTGGAAGAATTTGAGGTGGGGACTGTCAATGGTCATCCTGCTCACCACCTGGAAAAGACCTGTGTGAAAAATGAAGTTGAATGGAGGCGAAAACGATATGAGGGAGAGACAGAGCTCTGGTGGTATCAATTAAGTTCTTAGATCCAGCGGTTTTTAATGCCGGAATCCCCTTGGACTTCCTAGTATGTGAACCAATGAATTCTCTTTTATTTGAGCTAATTCAAGTTGTCATTTACAATTGAAAAACTACTGACTATATATTCCTTCTCAGATTTTTACTCTCTTCACCCACCACCTATTGCCACCTTGGTTCAGCTGCTGGTACATGTGGCTGGTAACTATAGCTGTGTCTCCCTGCCTAGAAAACATTCATTTTTAAAATTCTTTTACACTCACTAAAAAATAGTTTACTTATTCACTTATTCTCACTTTGTATTATGGAAAATTTTAAACATACACAAAAGAAAGAATAGTATAACAAATGTTCAAGAACCCATCTCCCAGCCAGCATAAACAATGAACAGTAACCAATATTTATTGACATATGTTCAGTTTTCAATGTTACCATTCTCTCTTACATCTCCATGCCTTTGGACTCACAGTTCCCTGTATGTTTCATTTTTCTATATTTCTCATTTGTTTGCTTCTTAGTACATTAGGTCTTTCAGCCCAAGTCACCCAGATTTGCTTCAAGATTTAGCAGAAGTGTCATTTCTACTATGAAGCCTTACTGACCTCTGTATACAAGTTGGGTGTTCCTTCTGCTGTTTTCTGGTAGCTCCTTTTTCATACTTTTATATTACATAGGATTTATTCATTCAACAAACATCTATTGAAAACTTTCACCATTTCAGGCACTGGAGATCTATTACTGAACAAAACAGGCAAAAATTCTCACCTTCATGGAGTGGAGACTGACAATAAACATCATAAATAAATTATATAGAATGTTAGAATGAGATGAGTGCAACAAAAAAGTGAGTTTAAGGGGAATTGTGTCTATGTCTGTGTTCAAATTTTAAATAAGGAAAATCAGAGAGGCCACACTTATTACACTGCATAATGGATATCTGCTTGCTTTTTTGTCTCTGCGATTGGACTATAGCTACTTGAAAACAGAGATTGTGTCTTACTCTTTTTGTAGCCCCAGCACCTAGTATAGCAGTAAGCATTTTGTAACAGTTGTGGAATAAATGGAATAAACAAAGAATACAAGATACCAACTCGAAAGATTTTTGGTGTCAAGGAAGCTTTTTTAAAGATAGTACATATACATGGAAAAAACTTCAAATACTACTCTCTGTAAAAGAGTATATAATACAAATCAAATTTTCCTTCTACCCCTGGACCCAGTCCTCCAAAATTCTTCCCAATGACCTCTACTGTTACTTGTTTCCTATGCATCTCTCCAGAGATTATCTAGCATTGTCTGTCTGTCTGTCTGTCTATCTATCTATCTATCTATCGATGGATCTATCAATCTATCATCTATTGATCTATCATCTATTGATCTAAAATTATGAATATTATCTGGAAATCATTGTATTTCAGTATATTCAGAACTGCCATACTTTAAAATATAGCTATACAGTATTTGTACACATGTATCAGAATGTATTTCGCCATGCTTCAGTTGATTTATATTTAAGTAATAATGAAGATGTATTGATGAACCACTCAACTAGTTGGGAAGTCAGGTTGCACTGTGAATCTGGTGATCAAATCTTTCACACTTAACTAAGTCAACAGCTCCCTGTTGGAGAGGAGGCCAGTCTCTTCACCTCTGCGTATATTATTTAATTTCACCACAACCTCATGAGGTTGTTATCATGATGCTCACTTTACAAAGAAGAAACCTGAGGTTTTCAGAGGTTAGGTAATTTGCCCAAGGTCACACAGCTTGGAAGCAGGGAGCAGGCCTGCCTGACTACAAAGGACGTGTTTTGCCACCATTGGAGTTTTTGGTACTTCTGCTAGGGATGAAACAAAGAAGATTTACACAGACTGCCTGGCGGACTGTCTTAGATGATCTTTAAGATTCTTCCAGAATCTGGAAATGCTGTAACACTGTGCCACCTACAACCACCCATTCTCTGCCATTTTCTCTCTGGTTTTGTGCCCTGGGAGACTGACCCCTGCACCAACTAGGCTCCTTTGCCTTCTTGCTGCTGGTTAGCTTTGCCCAAAGGCAAGCACCAACATGAGACTGGAGGATGGGGGAAAGAGAGATTAATATATTTCTTTCCCACTCCCTCCCTGCTTTGGCACCATGGTTTTAGGGGTGGCCGGGTCCCGCCATTACGTTGGTTGTGATTGGGTGCCCCCTCCTGCTTGGGTCCGCCTGTCAGTAGACTCTGGTAACACAATTTCTGCCTTTTGCCCAAATATCTTCCCTCTCTTGCTAGTCTCTGGATGTTTTCATACCCACGCTTTTGTAAATAGTCTCCATATAAAAAGTCTCTTCAGATGAACCATTACAATTAGATTTTGTTTCCTGTCATGACCCTATTGTAAATACTATTTTAAGGTGTTATGTCTTTCAGGGGACTCTTACAGACCTGATACTACAAGATCCAATGTAATTTATCTCTAGTGGTAAAATTTCAGGTGAGTAGGGCCAGCTGTTCGGAGCTAATCTGGACCTTTTTACTCTCAAATTCTATCTACTTGGCAGCAGCCTATTTGGCCAAGTGCTGAGACCTGCTCTGCTGTTGGTATGTGAGGTTGTGAGCAGATGGAATTTTTTTTTTCATTGTTCTATTTCTTACAATTTTACATATACATCAGCAGGTATTTAACATTTTAACAGCCTTTTCGAAAACACACACATACACAACATTTTTTCCCTACAGAATTTCTGGAGAGATCTATTAGTTATCTATCTGTAGCTGCAAAACAAATTATCCCAAAACTTAGCAGCTTAAAATTTTATTTATTGTTTTTAAACAATCCCACAGTTTCTGTGGGAGCATCTTGGTTGGGTGGTTCTGGCTCAAGGTCTTTCAGGAAGTTGTAGTCAAGCTGTTGGCTAGCACTGAAATTATCTGAAGGTTCTACTGGAGGACATGCCAGTTCCAAGCCTACTCACATCATTGTCTGCAGGCCTCCATTCCTTGCTCGTTGTTGGCTGGACATCTTAGTTCCCTACTAGGTAGGTATCTCCATAGCGTCCTTGAGTGTCCTCATGACATGGTACCCGGCTTCCCCCAGAGCGAGAGATATAAGAGATCCATAGTCTTTTAAAACCTAATCTCAAAAGTGACCTACCATCACTTTGCCACATTCTGTTGATCACACAGACTAACCCTGGTACAAGGTGGGTGCTAGGGGACTGTACAGGGTGTAAATACCAGGAATTGGGGAATATTGGGGGACATTTTGGAGGCTGGCTACTTCAAGAGAGAAGTGGGTATTATGTTTTTTATTGTACATAGCTACCCGCTAGATCTTAAGAGGTCATTTGTGTAACATCAAAAGAAAAATAAAATGAGGTAAGCTGACTAATGATTACAATATGTACAAAAAATGCATTTTTATTACAAAGGTCAGATGAAATTTAGGGCATTGAAAGGAATTTAGGACTCAAAGATCTTTAGGATTTTTGTCTTTCTGTAAATTTAACTTTCTGATTTTAAAAGTTAAAACTTATCAATGCATTTTTAAGATGTTAAAATATCATTGGTTCCTGGAACATTGCTTTGGAGCTACTCTGCTGATAGGAAGTTTCCATAAGATTATTCTGTCAACCACTACCTTATGGTCCAACAGTTCTTAATCTTCTGGGGGGAGGAGTCGTGAATTGCTTTGACAAGTGTTGCCAGTGACAGAATCTGGTGGTAGTGGTGCAGGCTGCAGTGTCCAGCGCCTGGTGGTGGTGGTCTCTGCACCTGCTGCCTGCACTGTGGATTTATTTAATGGCATGATTTGCGGGCACTATTCTTGCCCTTGGATCCCTGATTCTAGCCCTGGTGATTCTGTGAGCTATCCCTTAGCATTTTTTATGCAGTATTTTGTTTGTTTCTATTGGCAGATCTTTGAAAATATTTATGTAATGGATTCTGAAGGTGCTATGGCACAGAAAGTGGAACACAATTTAGATTGAAGTGAATTCATTGATATGGTCACACTTAACTGGTTATTTTGGATTCAGTGTTTTTATTTAATTGTGGTTAATTACATATAACGTAAAATTTACCATCTGAACCATGTTTAATTGGTTATGTTCAGTGGCATTAAATACACGCACATTATTATGCAACCATCACTATCATCCATCTCCCAAACTTTTTTCATCTTGCAAAACTGAAACTCTATATCCATTAAACGCTAACTCTCCCCTCACTCCCCATAGCTTTTTTTTTCCTATTGTGGTTAAAAACATAAAATTTACCATCTCAACCAATTTTAAGTGTATTGTTCAGTTGTGTTAAGTGTATTCACATTGTTGTAAAACAGATTTTCAGAATTTGCTCATCTTGCAAATCTGAAACTCTATACCCATTAAACAACTTACTTCCCCCTCCTCCCAGCTCCTAGTAATCACCATTCCACTTTGGGTTTTTATGAATTTGACTAGATATTTCATGTAATATTTTCTTTGTAGTTACCATTACAATTACATAAAATGTCTTAAAGTTATAACATTATATTTTAAACTGATAACAACTTAACTTCAGTTGCATACAAAAACACCACTCCCCACTTATGTTATTGATGTCACAAATTATATTTTATATACTGTATACCTATTAACATAGTTTTATAGTTATTTTTTAATGTTTTTTTAATTTCAACTCTATGTATCAAAGTTACAATAGCACAGGTTACTGTATTTGTCCATGCATTTACCTTTGCCAGAGAATCTTATATTTTCATATATCTTCATCTTGTCGTTTACTCTCCTTCTGCTTCAACTTGAAGGACTCTTTTTAATACTTCTTGTAGAGCGAGTCTAGTGGTAATAAACTCCCTCAGCTTTTGTTTATCTGGGAAAGTCTTAATTGCTCCCTAATTTTTGAAGGACAGTTTTGCTGAATACAGTATTCCTGGTTGACAGATTTTTCTTCCTTTATAACTTTGAGTATATCATGACACTCTGTTCTGGCCTGCAAAGTGTCTGCTGAGAGATCCACTGATAATCTTATGGAAGTTCCCATGTATGTTATAAATTGCTTTTCTGTTGCTGCTTTCAAGATTATCTCTTTGATTTCAGACAGTTTGATTATAATGTATCTCAGTGTGATTCTCTTTGGATATACCCTAGTTGGATTCTTTAAGCTTCGTGAATCTGTATGTTCATTTCTTTCCTCAGATTTGGGAAGTTTTGGACATTATTTCTTCAAGTAAGCTCTCAACTCCTTCCCCTCTCTCTTCTTCTGGGATTCCCTAATATGTATTTAGTCCTCTTGATAGTGTTCCATAAGTACCTTATGTTCTATTTGCTTTTCTTCATTCTTGTTTTCTTTTTACTTCTCTAACTCAAGGTTTTCAAATGACTTGTCTTCAAATTCACTGATTCTTTCTTCTGCCTTTTCAAGTCTGATATTGAACTCCTCTAATGAGTTTTTCAGTACTGATATTGTATTATTAAGCTCCAGAATTTGTTTGGTTCTTTTTTATAGTTTCTATCTCTTTGTTGATATTCTCATTTTGTTCATGTATCATTTTCCTGATTTCATTTAGTTGTGTATTTGTGTTCTCTTTTAGCTCATCAAGCATCTTTATGATAGTTATTTTAAATTCTTTGTCAGACTGCTCATAGATCTATGATTTTTAGAGTCTGTTTCTGGAATTTTATATTGGTCCCTTGATCGGTCCATGTTCTTTGTTTGCGTTGTAATCTTTCACTGGGATTTGGGCATTTGAAAAAACCACCACCTCTTCCAGCTTTGCATATTGGCTTTGTGCAGAGGAAGACCTTCACCAGTCAGCTCAGCTGCAGGTTCTAGGACATCCCAAACCTTTTCTGATCTATTGCTCCCCCTAGTGTCTACTTGTGGTTCTGCAGCTCTGACATGCTGCTTGCCTTTGCTTTTGGTGGCTTGCAAACTCTGGTGCCAGTCCTTTCAGTGGTCCAAGTCAGGCAACATAGAAACGAGTCCCTCAGGTAACCCTCAGACAAGTTGGAATGTTAGACTCATGATCCACTCTTCTGTTTCTATCCTGAGGGGGACTCCTGGGCTAAGGGATTTCTTCCCAGTTGCTCAGCACTATGCTGCATAGGGGAAGGGCAGGGGTGAGATGCCAAATGCTGCAAATTTCCTACCCCTTTTGATGAAATCCCTTCTTGGCTTTACAGTGACTTGAGTGCTATAGCTTCTTGACTGATCTCTAGAGGCCTCACAGAGGTATTCTGGTCCATATATTGTTAACTTGGTGTCTCTCTGGGGAATGAGGGCCTGTAGCTTCTTAGTCTACTATGTTGCTGACATCACTCTCTCCTCCCATAGCCTTTTTTTTAATATACATTTTTTTTGGAGGGGATGATTCACCCTAAGCTAACATCTGTTGCTAATCTTTCTCCTTTTTTCTTCCCACCGCTAGAGCCCCAGTACATAGTTGCATATAGTTGTAAGTTCTTCTGGTTCTTCTATGTGAGAGGCTGCCACAGCATGGCTACTGACAGAGTAGTGGTGTGGTTCCACACCTGGGAACCGAACCCGGGTCGCCGAAGAGGAGCACACCGAATTTTAACCACTAGATCATCAGGGCTAGCTCCCCCATAGCCTTTTAATCAATCCTTTTGCTACTCAAATCAGTTTGACTACTACAATATGATTTCCCTGGTGTCATGATGTTGGAACTGGGAAACCATCAAGGTTTGATGAATGAATGGGGCATTTCAGGCCCAGCGAGAGAGAGCTTTTTCTGAGCACATAGCTGTTTTCAAGCACTTCAAATCACACTTTTGACCACCACAAGTGTTTGGATTGTGTGGGACCACTCTGGTTGCCTTGTGATGACTGTGAAGTGTGGGCTCATAATTACGGACCTGCTGAAGATGACCAGATTTTCTTTCCCTTCTCTTGTACAGAAGATCTCCTCAGATCTGCAGAATTGCATCTAAACTCCTACAGATGCTGCTGCTGTTGCAACAATCTGTCACCAGCCAAGCTTATCATCCATTATTTATTTCCTTTCCTTACCTTCTGCCCCAACCCTCCCACTCACAGGCTGCAGAAGCTTTGTCAGTAAATTCAGGGCTCAGGTGTGGACCTGCGAGGGAGGTATTTGAACATAAGCGTGGGTAGGGCAGAGAAAAAGAATTAGGATGAACATACAGCTTCATTTACACTTATTTCTCTTACGTGTACCCGATAATCTTATACAGGGAGTGTAAAATATCTGACCTATCAAGACCAGGAATCCAGCGCTCTGTGAACTTTTTCAATAAATCAAAGTTCAAGCTCAGTGGTGGGGATTAAAGTGGCTGCTTAAGGCTAATATTAAGAGAGAAACATGTGAAAGCACATATTACAGTACACACAGGGAGTTTATTAACAATTTCCCTTCTTTCTTTACCTCTTTCCTTTTTCTCTCCTTCCAACCTTCCTTTACTTCTATTTTCCAGCAACTAAGTTGCTTTATAATTGATAGATTTGTTGTATATTCATCAAGTACCTTTCTGTGCTGAGAAGGTATGGTACTACATTGTTTTGAGTTGGCTATTATTTAATTCACAAAGTACTAGCATTATCAGGGCCACCTTAGCATGTAGGAGAAGAGGGGAAGGTCTGGAGAAGAATTCAGAATCAAAACAGACAGACCTGAATCACTGGGGGGCTGGAAGGGCAGTACAAAGGTGTTGGAGTTGAAGACTATCAGACAGCTAGGGGGCAAGTAGAAAAAAGCAAGCCAAATATTCATTTCCAAGTCTAGGGCATTAGCTTGAAGACTTCTCAGGATTTATTGAAAAAAATTTTTTTATTCTAGTTGCTTATGTTACCAATCTTCTTTCAGTTTAAAAAAAAAAAAGCCAGAGAAAGACAAAGTGTTGTTTTATTTTTTTATTTTTTGTCCTGGTGAATCTGGGCTCTAGAGTTCCTCCTTGAACACTGAGAAGGAAATCCAGCCAGCCTCGTGTTTCTGGAGCCAAAAGAATAGCCAATAGAGGGCCGGCTCTGTGGCTTAGTGGTTAAGTGCGCGCGCTCT